GATAGACATTTTATAAGTAAGAAAAAATACAATGTTTTGAGATCCAGAACAGACAACCAAGAATACAAGACACAACAACAATAACATAGAGCCGGAAAATGAGAGGATCACTCAAATAGTGTCCTAGAACCCAACTAACAACCTTGAAGCTAGGCAGTCTCTCAACTGAGACCTAACCTCAAACCAACACACAAGAAAATAAAATAAACAGGGGAAGAAAAGACACTACAACATAAAGTCACAACTACAACCAAGCTCCCAATTCTAAGATCTGATCACTCTACTAGCCCTGAAAGATAACCAATCTTGATGAACTGCTTGGACTATGAGGTGAGCAGGCCTTTTCACTTTCTCAAACATCCACAAGTTAGGAGTTTTTTAGAGCCATTAGAGGATATATGTCGATAATTGTATCCTTGCCTCTGATATCTCTGATTTGTCTAGCTGGCATATATGCCACCACCAGTCTTTAAAATATTCTCCCTCTCGGGGCCCATCCCATTGCACATGTGAGAGCTTCCAAACCAGTTTTGCAAAATCACAATGGAATAAAAGGTGCTCCACAGTTTCTAGATCATCTCCACAGATTGAGCAAACACCTTCTACATCTATCCCTCTGGCCTTCAGGTTATGGCTAACAGGCAAAGTGTCATTACAGCACTTCCAGATAAAGTGCCTAATCTTGCCCATGACTAGGAGTTTCCAACTTCTGCTCCTGACTTTGATATCTCTGGCCAAGTCTTTACTCCCCTGTGGCTGCCCCATTTTAAGATACTTCTCAGCAATGAGTTGATCATAGGTGGACTGAACTGAGAATAAACCCTTGCTGTGCAGCTTCCATTTCCATGTGTCTTCTTGGTGGGGATTAAGAGAGTTGATGGTGAGAATCAAGTCACAGATGTGTGAAGGAAAAGTTCTTCTCAACTTCCTTTCATCCCAGTTCCAACCATCTTCAGTCATGAGGTCTCTAACCCATACACAACCTCTGTCTATACCAGACAGTAGCTCCACTGTTTGGCCTGTGAGGTTTGGCAACCAATGCTGATCCCAGATTTTTGTAGAGTTGCCATTCCTGATTTCCACCTGCATCCACTTAGCACATATTTGCAAGACTGCATGCCAGCTTCTCCAGAGCCAAGATGAGCTTGACTGAATGGGTGCATCAAACAATGAAGAGTTAGGATAATATTTAGATTTGAGAACTCTGCTCACCAAGGGTTCAGGCACAATAAGTAGCCTCCAAAACTGTTTGGCAATTAGTGCAGTGTTGAAAAGTTGGATGTCCTGGAATCCAAGTCCTCCAAACTTTTTTGCCAATGTTAACTTGTTCCAAGCTGCCCAAGGGAACCCTTTAGAAGGATCAGTATCTTTACTCCACCAAAAATTGCTACAAATACTGGAGATTTCCTTACACAAGGTGGTAGGAAGAACAAAGCAGGACATAGCATAAACAGGAAGTGCATTGAGAACAACTTTGATGAGGATTTCCTTACCTGCTGTAGATAACCACTTATTCTTCCAGCTGCAGATTCTTTTCTTAACCACAAAGAGGATATAATCAAAAGCTTCTCTCTTTGATCTACCAATGCCCACTAGAAGACCCAGATATCTTGTAGAGGAGTGGATTTGAATGCCAGATAGGATAGAGCAACACTTGTCTTTAATGCTGGCTGGAGTATTTTTGCTAAAGAAAATTGATGATTTAGCCATGTTCACCTGTTGCCCTGTAAAATTGTGGTAAGCTTGAAGAATATACAGAATCTTGGTGGCCTGTTGTTCATCTGCTTTACAAAAAAGTAGAGTGTCGTCTGCAAATAGTAAGTGGGTCAGTGTGGGGCCATTTCTGACCAATCTAACCCCTTTGTAGCTCCCATTTTCTGCAGCACATTGAATTTTGGCAGACAACAACTCTGAGATAATAATAAAGAGGTAGAGGGATAGAGAATCCCCATGCCTAATACCTCTATTAGCAGTAATGAAACCACAAGGCCTTCCATTCAAATTAATAGAGAAAGAAACAAATTGAATACAAGCCATAATCTACTTGACAAATTTAGCACTGAATCCCATTCTTAACATAGTCAATTGAATAGGCTTCCACTCAAGGCTATCAAAAGCCTTCATCATGTCAAGCTTCAAAGCCATGAAATAATTATTGCCTGATCTGTGCCTATTCAAAAAGTGGAAGACTTCATGCCCAATCACAACATTATCCAGAATCTGCCTTTCAGGAAGAAAGGCAGCTTGGTTCTCAGAAATACAGTCAATGAGACAAAGTCTTAGCCTTGAAGCCAAAATCTTAGAAATAACTTTATAGAAAATTGCACATAAGCTTATGGATCTGTACTGACTAATAGATATAGGATTAAAACATTTTGGAATGAGGGTGATTAATGTATGCTTCCAGTACTTCAATAACATACATGATTCAAAAAAGCTTTTAACAGCGAAAATGATGTCTTTACCAATGATGGGCCAGAAGTGCTGATAGAAGAGCCCAGTCATGCCATCTTCTCCAGGTGCTTTGTCAGGGTGGATACTAAAGACTGCTTCTTTGATATCATCATCTTCCACGGGTGCTGTTAGGATGTCATTCATATCATCAGTGACTGACTGTTTGATTAAGGGAAGGAATTCATGTCCCCCTTTGGAGCCCTGGGATGTGAAAAGTTTGGTGTAGTAATCTGTGATGGCTGCTTCAATTTTCTCTGCATTGTCACTGATTTTATTCCTTCCAGTCACCAGTCTAACTATGGAGTTCATCTTCCTTCTCTGAGAAACAAAGGCATGGAAGAATTTGGTGTTTTGGTCTCCTTCCCTGAACCAAAGAGCTCTAGCTTTTTGCCTCCAGTATATCTCCTATGAAACATTAGCTTCATTTAACTCTTTTTGAATTTTGTCCCAAGTGTCCCAATCTCTGTCTCCTCCAGCTTTTCTGAGCTCCTCCAATTGCAGAGTAAGATTGCTGATTTTTGAGGCCTGCTCTGCTCTAAAATACTTGCTCCATCTCAAAAGTGCTTGCCTGGTTCTTTTAATCTTTTCTTTGATGATGTACATAGGAGTACCCCAGGCAGGAGTATCCCATGCTTGTTTGACCACTTCATTAACTTCTTCTTTTCTGATCCATCGTTTATCGAACTGGAATCTTTTTTTGAATTTTCCAGGTGCTTCAGAGAAAGTGATGACCAGCATAGTGTGATCAGAGGCACTTCTGAACCAGCTGGTTACCTTTGTTTCAGGGAATATAGTAAGCCAATCCAAGGAGACAAACAATCGATCCAAAGTTTCCTCTACATAACTCAGCCCTGCTCTATTATTTGTCCAGGTATAAGGCAATCCTTGGAGTGGAATTTCTTGCACACCCATCTAAGCTAGAAACTGAGCTAGAAACTGATTGAAATCCCAAAAACTCCTGTCTGATTTGCTTTGGCCCCCGTTTTTATCTGCAGCTCTGCATTGCATTCCAGTCTCCGACTATACATCAGACTGGCCCCCATTTGGATTTTTCATTCACTAGATAGTCCCACTGAAGGGCTTTCTCAGCTTTAGAAGAACTGAGATAGACAAAAACAACCCAACAGGAACAATCTTTAGATTTATCAATAAAGTTAACAACAATAAAGAAACTCTGACTATAAATATTTACAATAAAAACATCATTATCCCAAAGAAGCATACGCCCACCCCCAGTACCACAAGGCTCTACAATGTAATGCCTGTTAGCAAACCCCAATCTAAAGCATAGGGAAGAAGCAAATTTTTTATTTTTCTTGATTTAAGAAAGGAACAAAAAAGATGGGTGATGGATCCTTAAGGATTCCTTGATATGGGGAACTGTAGAGAGCCCACCTAGACCTCTACAGTTCCACACCAGAACATTCATGGGGACTCCGAGGGCTTCTTTAGGCAAGCCCTCTCCACCTTAGTTAAACTTAGCTTTGCTTTCTTGTCTGGATTTTTTGGGATATCCTTTATCTGTTGGGTATCAAAACTGTAATATCCCGATATTTTATCGGTATAAATTATGTTTTAATTCCGATATAATGATGTTAATGTTTATTATTTTCGGAATTAATTATTTTAGGTCGAGATTACCGAAATTGATTTCTGACGTACCGTTTACGTTCGGAATAATTTTGATAATTAAGCATTATGTTTAATTAACAATTAAACATAAAGTAAGTGATTAAGGCTAATTAATTCTATCAACTAGGGCATAAGCCGTGGGAGTCATGGCAAAAATTGCTCAACAATTTCATCAAAGCCGTGTGCTATAGGTATATGTTCCAAGTTGTACCATTTTCCTAAGTCTTAAGAAATCAATTTCCCTCCATCCATTTAATTACCACACGTGTCAACTTAAGGGGGGTAATTAGTCATCAATAATTATTCCTAATGGCTAGCAAGTGTAAGCTCAAGAGAAGGCCACATCTCCTCTACGTCATCACCATCCCACGGCCCTTACTATATATAGGCATGTTTGGACCGAAATTTTCCACTTTTTCTATAAGCCATATTTAGCAACAGAGTCTTAATATAGAGAGTGAGAGAGATCTAATTTGTTAGCAATCAAGAAGGAAATTTCACCGCAACAACACACCGCTACCGTACGCGCAAGCTTAGCCACCGCACACGAGTAAACGGCGCCGAGTACACCACTTCAGGACCTTCCTTTTGCCGGAGATTGGAGGTTGCAGAGGTAATTTAAACTTACCTTGTATAGATCATGTTAGGGACAAGCTAATTCTATTGAGGTCTCGGTCATATAGCGGCTTGAAGCCATTCGGCCGTGTATGTCCGTGAGTGTCCGTGCGTATGTGTGTTCGCAAGTGGAATTGAATCAAAGTCATCATGTTATCTCAGTAGTTATTTGATAAATC